CTAAAAACTTAAAGATTTTTATATTTAAATCATCGCAAAATTGTTATTTTTTAATTACTTTTTCGATCAAAAGCAACCGCTATTTTGTAATTTTAATTTTTTTCGATAAAAAATAAATATTATTTTGGATTTAAAGTTTTTCAATCAGAATAATTGGTATTTTGTAATTTTTCATTTTTTCTATTAAAAATAATCTTTATTTTGGATTTCAGTTTATTCTGTCAAATTTCATACTTTTTTTGTAAAGAAGATTTTTTCGGTCAAAAATTATCGTTGATTTTGATTTTTATTTTTCGATCAAATAAAATCGTTATTTTATGATTAAAAGCTTTTTGCAATCAAAAATAATCTATATTTTATATATATATTTTTTTTCGGTGAAGAACAATCGTTATTTTGTAATTTAAATTTTTCAGGATAAAACATAATCGGTATTTCGGATTTTAATTTATGATCTCAAATTTAAATTTATTCTATTTGGAAGTGTCGGTTTTTTCATAAAAAAAATAACCTTTTTTATTATTTTTTCGTTCAAATTAAACCGTTATTTTGAAATTCAAAATATTTTTCGATAACAAATAATCGATTTTTTTGGTACATGTTTTATTTTGTTTTTAATAAAAAAATAATAATTTTTTGGATACTTATATTTTCGGTGAAATTAAACCGTTGTTTTTAATTTTTTAGGTCAAATTAGTCCGCTGTTTTGTAATCAAAACTTTTTTTCGATATAAAAAAAAATATTTTTTTTAAGTATTTATTTTTTTGGTGAAATGCATTCGTTCTTTCGATCAAAAACAATAACATAAGTGATAAAAAAACAAAAATGCAAAAATAACGATTTTTTTGATTAAAAAAATTGCGGATAAATTTGATCGGAAAATAGGAAACCAATTTTAAGGGTTAAGCTAGGATTGTTATTACTTCGCCTGATTAAAAAAAGGCCCACAAATAACTGAAAATCTTTAAAACACGGAAATGAAAATGTAGTTACGGTTCAGTTGTAGATACTGGCCGGCCAGTAAAAGCCTCACATAGAACAAAACAACGTCCATAGATATATTTATGACCAATTTAACGTTGCCTGAGGCTATGTTAAAAATACTTTAATTCCTTTATCGAATTGTGGTAAATACTTTGATTTTTGCAAATATTTTCATTTTAATTTCAACATGTTGCATCTGACGGTATTCGAACTTGCGGCGGTCTGAAAGCATTCCAAAAAACCATCACATGAAATTTGGAAATAATACTTCTCCACATTCTTCCAACTCGCGTAGTTTAAGAAGTAGTTTGAAAATAATGCGCCAATTGTTGCGTTTCATTCCGTAACTAATTTCCGTAATTAATTAATTTAAATTAAACTCAACTTTAAATTAAATAATTCTGATATGAATATGCATGTGATATGCATATCAAAGTGGCCACATGCTGTGAAGCGTGAAATTGGCTATTCATCGAACCGTTCAAACAATGATTTACATCAGTAAGCATCAACTGGTTACAGAAACACAATTATTATCCATGACAGTTCAATTTCCGATAACTGGTGCTATTAAAAATGCAATTCAATAATTTTTTATTTTTTATTTTTTTCGAAATATAACAAATTTACTTTTGATGCGTGATTCATGTAGAATGCTTTTTCGTTTCGTGTCTACTTCGTGCCATCCATTGCATGCTGAAGAATAGATGCATAATGAAAAAACATCATCAAAAGTCGTAAAACAGTTAGCCGTGATTTTTATAGAAATCTTATTTTGAGCTTGATTTTTTTTTTTAGATAAAACAATAAGGTGTTTTAAAAGGCATGCTATCGTTACGATGACCATATTTATGTTGGATAAAATATAATTTCATTTATGCTATTTCAAATGTAAAAGTTTTCTTGGTTAAACATAAAATAAAAGAATGTTTCCAAAGGCTACGAACGCACCAGTTGCATACAGTTGTGGATAAGTAAATCACACTTCAGTATCACTTTATTATAAAAGTATGATTCTTGATCGAAAATATGACTCTGGGAAACAAAATCGCAAACGCCACTCAAAAGGGGTACTTAACGTAACCTGTTGTAATTTTTAAGTAGCCCAAACATGATTTACTAACTACTTAGTTATGCCAAAAATTCTCTCTGTAGGTATTTTGTCGGAAAAATGTTTATTGGTTTCAGTCATTTTGTTCTTAGCTTAGGTTAGGTTGATGTGGCGGTCGGGTCAAGTGACCAACACGCTTAGACCTTTCGAAGGTCCATTGTGGTACCACTGCAGAAGACGACAATCTCAGTGACTATGCTTCAGAGAACCACTTAATTGTTTTCCCCTTTTTTTCTCATACATATAAATATACTACTAAACGTAAATATAAAAAGCTTGGGCAGGCCGGTGCCCACTATCGATTAAAAATAAAATAAATCTAATATCTGGTGATACCTGATTGCTTACCGTACCGTATCTTGATTTTCGCCACATCATGTGAAAATGACTGAATAATAAATTCCAAGATATCTTAAATAAGGTTGCCACCGGTTTAAATAAATAAATTCGACTAAAGTGAATATATAAAATAAAGTTGCTTAAGGGTTGACATCGATAAACTCTACGTTGCCGTTGTCCGATTGTGTCCGAAAACACGCATACCCAGCGATGAGAATGTTTATATCTAGGTTAGCAAAAGTAAAGAGTTGCCACGTATTATAAATTAAATTCAGTAAAGTTAAATGAAAGCATTCAGTTTTGAACTTCATGTAGGAGGATTGCCATTTGTCTAAAAAAAAAATAAATCCAGCTTGAATTAAGGGAATTAGGTAATTAAAATATTGCCATTTATGGGTAACAGATGAAATAGGTTAAAGATTGAAAACATTTTCAAAGGGCCACCACCTTTTCAATAAGTTAAATTCAAAAAATTTAATAAGTTAAATTAATTGTTATTTTATGGCCAACAATGGCAATAGTTGATTTCTAACTATATTTAAGAGGGTTGCCACCTGTTTAAAAAGTCAAATTCCAGCTGAATTAGGCGAATTAGGTAATTGAAATATGCGTCAAAATATGGCTGTCAGAGGGTTGAAGTTTGGAAATATTTTGAAGAGGGTTGCCACCTGTTTGAAATGTGGAACTTAACCTAATTATGCACAAGCTAAATAAAATATATAAATACGTATTAAAAATAAAGGTATCAAACGACAAAGTAATAAGAAGTCTTTCGTTTCAATATTTAGAGTATTTTGGCGTTTTAAAATGTTTGCACTCATTTTAAAATTAAATTCAAATAAAATTATTTAATATTTTAAAAGAAGTATTAAAACGTGGGTTTCAAATAAAATTTTATTTAAAAGTCTTTATTTCTAAACTTCATGCTACAAAGTTGCCACCTATTTAATTCTTTTTAACTTGAATTTAAGAAATTAGGAAATTGTAATAAAAAAGTATCAACGATTTTGCTTGTTTTTCTCTACGGCTCAAAAAGATTTAAAATTGAAAAAAAAATAGGTGAAAATTATTAGCAAAGGCCACCTGCATGTGAAACGTATAAGTTAGCAGATTTCCAAAAAATATTTTTTTTTGTGTTTCTTACTTGCCATAAAACAAACTTAAACTTGACACTTCAAAACCATATAAATGCCACTACACACTACATTTACCGCTAAAGATAACTTAAGCTACGTTTAAATAATAACACAAGTTAAGTGCTTATCTGCTGCAGATTTCGTACTAACACACCGAAACATAATACAAATGCAGTTATTCGCAACATTGCTTATTTTTTTGCGCATTTGAAGTGTAAAAAGGTTGTATAAATAATTTTTTCATAACATGCAACCAAAAGAAAACACAAATAAATAAATTATCTTATGCACACATACATGCATATATGTATGTATGTACACACGTGCTCGTTAACTATGCGCATGCAGACCAAACATTTTGATTCAGCACTTGAATGATGTGAGTCGATGAGTCTGCCATTGCTGTAAAACAAACTTGAGTGACAAAAAAGGAAAACAAACACACGTTTGCCTGAGAGTGCACAGCTGAGGCGGCGCTGAGCAATAAATGTCAAAGAGCGTATTTTTAGAAGGTGCCTAAATGCAGAAAAAAATATATATGTAAAATTGCTAGTGTAGAAGTTTTAGAGAAGATTTAGAAAAAAGCATACAAAGAGCAAAAATATTCGAAATACCCGCCACTATAAAGAAGACACTTGGTAGCAAATGGCGCATCTATACATAAATAAATCTTCGACAGAAGATCTTGGCATAAAATTTTAAGTTTATGATGCCACAGCAAATGCAATAAAAGCACCACATTCAAGTAAATCAAAAACGTGAGAAGATGCATGAAAAAAATAAAAGAAATTCCACAGCGTGTTTTTCGCTTGCAATTTTTCCCTACAAAACAGCAAAAAAAAATATATAAAATAGCAACAAAAATAAATAAATGCAACTGCCGTAATCGCCGCCAACTATGTAGTTGTGCGAAATACATTTCTCATGCCGCCAACAGTTGCTCGGTGACTTACACGCCGTATTCGCAACCTGGGCTGGCTGGCTGGCGCGAGAAGGCGGCAGGCGCAACGTGTTTTCATTCAGGCATTCATTCATATTTCGCTGCCGGCTACTACTTAAGCATACATATGTACATACATACACCTATCTACCTGTGTATGCATTGCAATGTTGCATTGTGTTTTACACGCTTTGACGCTTACTGTTGACTTTGGTGGCATTAGTCGTGCAGTTGTTGCTGCTATTGTTGGTGCTGATGCTACAGCGCTGCCGCTTTTGTTACTGACCTACCTCCCCATTTTAAGTTAAAATTGACAATTATTTGAATCAGTTGATCGCATTGCCTCAAGTTTAGTGCAGGCAGGCAGGCAGGCAAGCGAACATTTGTACATACACATGCAGACATATGTACATATGCATGCCTATGTATGTATGCATGTTCACCTAAAAATGGGAGTGTTACTATGGAGCTAACGTTTCTAAATTGAAGATGCCTCCAAATACAACAGTAAGTAAGTAAGTGTTGTTGCTTTTGTTTGGCTGTTGTTTTTGGATTCATTGCTGTTACAAGCATAGCTTTGTCGCTTGCTGCTCCGCTACTAAGCGTTCAATTCATATTCGATGTTAACTGACCTACTCTACTCGTGCACTATGCAAGTCAACCAAGGTACATACATATGTATGTATGTATATGTATTGACATGCACACGTGAATAGTATGCACACAAGCACACAAAAACACTGGGAGGTGAATTTAAAGTGTTACGGTATGTTGAGGTTTTTTTTCTTTGCTTACTTGGATGGAGATTCCCTTCACTTTATAGCTAATAATCAGCGAAGTGGTGATGGCGCCGCTGACTGAACCATTGGCATTGTTGGTAGAAGATGTAATTGTTGGCTCAGATTTTTTTTTGTAATATTTTAATTTACATTTTCAGTTGATAAATGTGCGAGTTTGCAAATTACCTGTACTCATACATATGGGCATGTCCGTTTACGTGAAGTGTGGCCAAAGTGATTACGGTAGTGAATAATTTAAATAAATTTTGAAGTTGGCCGCTCTTAACTCTCGCTTGCAACGCTATTTCCCATCAAAATTGGTTAGATACATACATATATATGTACATGTGTGATTTTAGAACTATTAATTTTAAACAAAAAATTAGGTATTTAATATACATAGATTCATATGTACATGGCGTATGAGTAACATTATTTCCCACTCATAGTTCATACAAAAAAAATCGTTGCGCATTTTTATTTGAACACTCATTAATTTTTTATTTATTCATCGATTTTAATCACTAGTAGCTTGATTTTTTTTTGTAGCAGAAATGGAATAATGCAAATGAAATAAATTGTTACAGAATCTCTTGTTTTTGTTTTTTTTTTTTTATTTTTTCCCAGTTACAGCCGGCTTTACTAGCAAATTAAATGGAAATTGATTTTTTATTTTCTGTTGATTTCCGTATAAAATTCAAAAAATTTAAATAATTTTTCACTTAAATTGCTTTTGTGAAATTGGCTGTAAAAGTTTGAATCATTTAATCACAAAATCATCATCATCATCATCATCATCAATCATTTAATCGCAAATATCTCCAAAACTTGTCCATAGAAAAAAAATAACTCGATTTTCGGAATCAGCTAGCAATTCTAGATAGGAATTGGATAGTAGCATTCGGTGTGAATTTCTGCTGTAAACCAGTGTTATTAAATAGAGTCACAGTGGCTCGGAAATTTCGTGCCGGAGTTTTGGTTGGTCCAAGCCTTTAGTATCATATAGAACGTGATCGGTGGACAGAGTTTTTTTTAGATGGGAGTCAGTTTGCGATGGCACCGTACCAGAATGGTTGGGAAGGATCTCACTGCACCCGTTACGCAGAAAGCAGCTGAACTATATACACTGCAGAGGTATCAATATCAAATATTAACCAGCATCAAGAGATGCAGGCTTAATTAAGTTGCGATGTACATATGTATATCGACCTTGGTTGGGTATTTTTGCTCGAGAAGTTACAGGTAATTGATTCATCAGGTTGATCAATGAATACATGTAGCTAAGTAGTTGTATACGTTTGACATGCTCAGGTGCTTCAGGAACTCATTACGCATTGTTACTGTAGAGCTAAATGAATTCAAAAGAGAATTGTGCTGGTAGGCTTTTATCATCTTAAGGGAAAGACAGGTTAAACATTTTGTAAAAATAATAAGAGCGACGCACTTTAAAGATCGTAATATGAATACTCGTACCATACTAGGTTGTACATCTCTAGCCTGATAAGACATACTTTTCTACAATTCAAATGTACTTAATCAATTTTTTCTTCCTCTAAAATTTCAGCTACTCTTAACTACACTTATTGCCTTAGCGCATAGCGCACGGCTGGATAACAAATATCTCCCACCGCCAGCGAGTGCAGCTAGTGCTGGTGGTGGTCCTGGCTTGCAAGGCCCTGGTGGCAGCAATTTTGGACTTGGTGGCTTTTCGGGTGCTGGTGGTCCTAGCCGTCCCATAGGTGGCGGTGGTGCACCAGGTGGTGGCTATGGGGGTGGCGGTAGCGCACCTGGCGGTGGTTTTGGTGGCGGCGCACGCCCTGGCCCTTCTGGTCCCGCGCAACCATCCGGTCCGCCAATACCAATTTTATCCTATGTGAATGAAAACGATGGCGATGGAAATTATCGCTTCAGCTATGAAACCGGCAATGGAATTAAGGCGGAAGAGGAAGGTACCATAAAAAATAAGGGTTCGGAAAATGAAATCGCTTCGGTTATGGGTTCATATTCGTACACAAATCCGGAGGGTCAAGTTGTTGAGATTACCTACCTTGCTGATGAAAACGGTTTCCAACCATCTGGCGATGCCCTGCCTACGCCGCCACCGATTCCGGAGGAGATAGCTAAGGCTTTGGCAGCGCAAGGCATTTCAGCTGCACCTGGCGGTGGTTACACGGGCGGTCCTGGCACTGGAGGTGGTGGTGAGTTCACTTCCATAAACTTCATTGCAAAGAAAACTTTATACTTATAACATTTGGAAACTTTTATATTGTAGTATTCGGCGGTGCTGGTGGTGGCACAGGCGCTGGCGGCTATGGTGGCACTGGAGGTGGCGGCGGCTATGGCGGTACAGGACGTGGTGGAGCTGGCGGTAAGTTGGCTTGAATGAGGATAACTATGAGCATTATAGAATTAATGATTTCTTAATATTCAAGGTGGATATGGTGGTGGTACCGGAGCTGGTGGTGCTCCTGGTTTCGGTGGCGGCGCTGGAGGTCGTGGACCTGGTGGAGCGCCAGGATATGGCGGTGGTCCCGGTGCGGGTGGTGGTGCGCCAGGATATGGCGGTGGTCCCGGTGCGGGTGGTGGTGCCCCAGGTTTTGGTGGTGGTGCCGGTGCAGGTGGAGCGCCTGGATTCGGTGGTGGTGCCGGTGGTCGTGGAGGCGGAGCTGGAGGCGCTGGTGCAGGTGGATTCGGTGGTGGAGCAGGTGGTCGTGGTTCAGGGGGAATTGGTGGTGGAGCCGGTGGACGTGGTGCTGGAGGAGCTGGAGGTGGAGCTGGCGGTTATAACTATGGTGCACCAGGTGGTGGTCCTGGAGGTGGCGGTGCACCCGGTTTCGGAGGTGGTGCAGGTGGACGCGGTCCTGGCGGCGCTGGTGGACCAGGTGGTTTTGGTGGTGGTCCCGGTGCTGGAGGATCTGGTGGTCGCGGGCCAGCTGGTCAAGGTGGTGCAGGAGCTGGTGGCTACGGTGGTGGACCGGGTGCTGGTGGATCGCCTGGATTTGGCGGCGGTGCTGGCGGGCGTGGCCCAGCTGGCCCCGGAGGTCAAGGCGGTTATGGTGGTGGCGCTGGAGCAGGTGGCGCACCTGGTTTTGGAGGTGGCGCTGGCGGTCGTGGTCCAGGCGGAGCTGGTGGTCCAGGCGGTTATGGTGGTGGAGCTGGTGGTGCAGGTGGCGCGCCTGGCTATGGAGGCGGCGCTGGCGGCCGTGGCCCAGGCGGAGCTGGTGGACCAGGCGGCTTTGGTGGTGGACCAGGTGGAGCTGGTGGTGCGCCCGGCTTTGGAGGCGGTGCTAGTGGTCCTGGTGGACGTGGTGGTGCTGGCGGTTTTGGTGGTGGTCGTGGAGGAGCTGCTGGACCTGGCACGCAATATGTTCCACCAGGTCCGGGCGGTGCTCCTGGTGGTGGTTCCGGGGCTGGGCCTGGTGGAGCTCCCGGTCGACATGGGAGTGGCGAATTTAATCCCCAAACCGGCTATAATTACTAAACTGCGGTCGATGACGTTAAACCTCGGGACGATTGCCCTCCACAATACGCTAACGCTATTCCAAAAAACGCTGCCCCAAATATACCTGAATACTCACAAGTGCGCAATCGCTTAGAGATGCGTATGTATAGTTTTTTTCCGGTTCATTCAGACCAAATGTGCCGCCTTAGCGTTTATTTATTTTCGCGATTATTAATGCTTTTTTTAAATGCTCGTATATTTCATTTCATCTGTCAATTAAATTCATCCACTTGTACATTTAAATTTACTTATACTTATAAACAACTGTATTGATATTTCCTGTAAGGATGTGAATGTTATAAATGGCTAGTGAAGAAAATGGTAAAAAAAAAACAAAAATTGTTATCGAATGGTAATTTTTATGAATGATGAATCTCCCATTCTTTCACTTTATGTAAATAACTAAGTGTTTTATTTTGTTATACTTTCCTTTTTTAGTTAAATTAACTGTAATCTCTATCTCTTCTTAATTGTAATGCTTTCTATGTATGTATTTAGGAAAAACATGATGAGTAAATGAACGAATAAAACCATGTTCGAAAAATGTAAGAAACTTTTGGTTATTTTATTAATAATTTCATGGAATAGTTGTGAGTTTGTGTTCGACTCATAGGTAGCAAATCCTATGCTCGAGGGCAGGCACACTCTCGATTTTGTCCATGTCCCATCAACTTCGGCAGAAGTCTTTGGCCGGCAAGCCCATTCTACTACCATGCCTTCCTATTAAGCAATGGCCCGTTACAATACGGATCACCTGCTTTGGTAGAGAGCGTTCTAACCGAATGAGTGCGTCGGGTTTTTGCCTGTCAGAACTGGCCAGATTTTTAAAATCGTTCACCATTTGGGTTTTTCCCACCATCTTTTATTAACATGCTCGACGAAGTATGTCTTGAGCCATGTCTTGCAGCTAGAAAGCGCATGAGATGAGTTGACGTCAGACAGGGTGGTTGGATTCCTCGCAAGCTCGACCGGTCCATATTTACCTTGATTGTTTTTTTCGTCTGACACCCAAATATTCTATCGTAGTTATTGCCGAGGTCTCACAGCAATCTTGTGACTTGTTGGATCTCGGAGTATATAGTAATGGAAAATTAAGAAAAGATTCGATAAGCCAGAGTGCAGCCTCTTTTATGACCGCGAGTTCTGTTTTAAAGACACTGCAGTGGTCTGGCAGCCTAAAGCTCAGGTCTAATCAGAAGTCCTTTGAGCACATCTCACTCAATGCTCTGTGGAGTTTTCTTGTAGGCTTCAGACTGAGTCTTCTTATCAGTCCTTCCTCGAGGGAGAACTTTTTCTCGAGCTCCAGCGGTAGTGTTGGGTAATATGGGGACCTAAACGTATCGGAGTGGTTAGTTAGAATGTTGGTGTGACCTAATCTGGTGTCTTTCCACTTTGACATTGCATTTAGTCTTACTGCATTGCAGCTCGCCCGCAATTTCCCCAAAAAAGGTGTACGGATAGAATGTCGAGAAGTCTTTTCTAGGCTTTAGTGTATGTGGACGGCAGCGCAGTTGTGATTAGCATACATGACGTTCTATGAACCGTGGTAATTTAGAATTAGTGAGCGACATAGCTAGTGATGTCCACCAGACTGTGAAGCCGTGGAATAATATAGGAGGACGTGCTACTGCTATATAAATCCAGTGTGGGGTTTGAGACTCCACTCCTTGCCTATAGCCGTTTTGCAGTCATAAAGGGCGACAAAGGCCTTTTTTGCCCGCTCCACTATGTTGCGCTGAAGGTAAGTTTCTTGTCCAGAGAACGCCCACTTCACTTCATTAGAAAGCGACATTTAACGTGGGAAGTTGAAATAGGCAGGTTTTAGTTTTCCGGATAAAGCGAACCATGGTCGTTTTTGCCGGGCTGGAGCTCAGTCCACATTCTTTAGACCAGTTTCCCATGAGACTGAGGGCGTTCTGGTTTGTTCAAGACTTGTGGATATTTACACCTCGTCGCCTGGGTAAAAGATTGTCGTAAGTGCCATTTTGACGATTTTTAGTTCTAGATGCAGTTATATATTTCGAGATAAGGTCCTTCGATTGTTGTTATCAGTTTTTAGATATCTCCTTTAGTTTCCGAGATATTGGCTACAACTTTTTCGATAATTCAGTAAAAATTTAATTGGTGATGTAGTCATTTTAACTAATCAATATCTTAAAAATGGCGTCCTCCATTTTTGGATAACTCCTTTAGTTTCCAAGATATTGAGTAAAAGGTGTCGTTAATTTGGTAGAAATTTAATCACATTTTGTCGTATTTCATAAAATGTGGCTGCCAAATTGTGGACAATTGACGCTTACGACAAAATTTGACCAAAGAAAGTCCTTCATAAACTTTAAACTAATTAACAATAAACATTAAAAGTTAAATAATTTACGAATTTTGTGAACTAGTAACATTTTCAGAGACTTTGGAGAAAATCTATCTTCGCATTTTTGAGAATATGCATTCCAAACTTCAATCGCGATTTCCCACAACCTGCCGAAATTAACATACGACAATCAGACAGTGCCCTGTAAGTGCAAGAGTTGGGTGTAAGGGTATTAGATTCCTGAGGTGTGGTGAGAGTTCCCCTCCTTGAGGGGTGCCCCTTATCGTACATCTTGTGTTGTAAGTCCCACTCACCTCCGAATAGATAGTTTTTTGATTGAGAAGAAGACGGACAAAGTCCACCAGGGATAGAAACAGTCCGATTTGGAGCAGTGATGCCGTGATCGCTTCTGTGGAAGGTGATATGGTCCACTGAATCTTTCCGATAAATCTAGTAGATCGCGAGAGGCATGCTGAAAGTCTACGGATTCCGCTTCATTAGATGTTATCGATAGGCAGGGCTTACTGTTAGAAGCGCTACTAAAAAGGAGATCTGAAATTAGTTTCCTGCATTTGTTTCCAGTCAATTCATCTGCTATTTCTCTAAGCGACTGAAGATGTCGGTTCAAAATAAATCTTGAAATTTATGTATCTGTGATCGGAAAGGGATTAGTCATTTCAGACATGCCACTCACTACTCTTTTCTAGAAAGCTATCCGACACAAGAGACGTGTCTAGTACCTTTTTTTAGCGGTTACAAAAGTTGGCCTATTTGCGATATTACATATTGCTTAGCCAGTTGAGAATATGAAATAAAGTCTCCTACTCACCCCGATTGTAAGTGTGTTCGCATCGATCCCGATGACGATGGGAAACTTCCACTTTTTGGCCTCTTTCACAACGTTTCACAACCGTTTTGTTTTTGTTAAATTATTACTATTTGCGTGCATCTAAGAAATACATGTTTCCATCTCAACCATTTCCGTTGCATTTGCCAGGCCACTCCCAACCGCCGCTAAAGAAGTTTCGCTTCAATAATAAAATATTCGTATGTATTTGTACTTCTTTGCTACAGAGTGATTATATCTTTCAATTTTGAATAAATGTTAATAAATTCCTTAGCCACACTGCTCAAAAAACCTGAAAATCTGGTACATACACAATATAAATTTAGAGCCGTATTTAACAAAAGTCGCCTAACTTCGACAATTTTTATGCGATTGCAATAAATTAGATAGTACTGCTTATATTGTGGAAATTATCGATATCCAAATTTAAAAAAATAGAGGAATATGTTTTCTTTTAATTGACCCGATAAAAAGTCCCAACAAGCCAAGTTCGACAATAAATTATTATATATCATTTTAAAGGCCTATATATCCTCAGATCATATTCGATCTTTGAAATCGAATCGATCGATTCGATCTTTGAATCGAAAATCGTGCTTTCTGACCAAGTCACGACCTCTAAAAAAAATTATGAAAATAGGCAATAATATTTCTCATAAAAATGAATAAAATTAGGGGGCAGGATCTTGAAATTTCCAAAAAAACAAAAGCATTCTCGATGGGCACCCTAATGTATATACATACATATGTTCATATTGAAGGCATTCATTAAAATTTGCAAATACTTCAAATGTTGAGCTTGACTTAGGGCCTTATTCTGTATCACGAACGATAGGCAAAACAAACGATTCGTCTTCAGACGAGAACCTCTCAGATTGCGATTTTAAACTCCATCGGTCATCTTCGTCTTGCTTTTCATACATTATAGCTGAAATACAATGCCGGCGAACGGCGAACTCACCACAGCGAAATTCGCGCTGTCAAAATTAGAACACCCGCAAGCATATGAAATTGAACACAGCCAAAGCGAAATGCGAAGTTCGCTTGGCGGCGTTTCATGGCGATAGATTTATTTCTATCGCTCTGCTGGGCGATGACAGCTGTGCGTGCCAAAGGTGGCCGTATTTGTTTTGTGCTTTCAAAGTTTAAAAAGAAAACAACCTAAACACGATTTTTTTTTTGTTGTTTGAAAAATATAGTTGTGGATTCGTTAAATCTGGCTTGAAACAAATTATTTATAATAATCTTTCTTTGTTTTACATTTATATTTGTTATCATTTACTCATTTCTAAATATGGTTTAGTTTTTTCTAAATATGGTCACCCAAATTATAAAGGCGACCAAATGGGATCAGCTGTTTTCGCTACCGCTCTAATTCTGTTTAAGTGGGCGAAATAGTTGGGCGAACGGTGACCGACAGCATCGCCCAATTCGGCGAAGTTTGCCGTTCGCCGGTATTGTATTTCAAGCATTACGTTGCAATGGTCTCGGTTGCGTTTAAACCGGCTAAAATGATGCCGCCGGACTAATTTTTGAAGCATTCCTCTGCAGACGAATCGTTCGTGTTGCCTATCGTTCGTGATACAGAATAAGGCTGTTAAATACTTACGTCAAAAGAAAAACTATTTGATATTTACATACATACATAGTCACATCGGTTAAATATATGCACTTCAAAGTACGTAAGTTAGCCAATAACAATTATCCTATTTCTCTTAAAGTATCATCTTCATAAAGTCACAATTCATAATAATTTTAAAAACTACTATTAAAAATTAGATGCACAAAAGAAAATGATTTGTGTTTAAAATGCCTTTGAGGTGTTTAAAATAAATTTTTATTTGCATGCAGTTAAAAGTTAAAAAAGCAAAAAAGTCGAAAATTTATTATTAATTTTAGGAATAACTAACATTAGCCAATTAAAGTTCGGTCGATATTTCCCACACAATGCGGCGCGAAAAACCATGCACACATACATATAGGTATGTATGAGTATATATGTATGCCTTGCACATTAAACTTAAATATTTAGACGTCTCCATGCTTTGAATATAAAATACGGATAGGCACTTGTAGTAAAAAAGTATGCTGCACAAGTACATATATGTATATGCAAGCCGTTAGTATGAGTATATTGGCGTTATGTTGAACCAGCATAATTAATACCGTTGCAGCATAAAGT